CCCCCCCCCCGCCCCTCCCAAAACCAGCTCTTGTATCCTATGCAAAATACATACCTTACAGTTAACAAAAGATTTGCTTATTGCTGCCAAATGTTACAGGATTAACTAGTCAACTAGAAGCTGAAGAGGATTTCTGGCTCCACCCAAAACATGGAGAACTAATAATGGAAAAGCAAGCAGAAGCTAAGGTCAGACACGGTATCTGGAACACTGGAGCTTACTCAGCACATCGAATTATGGTGTATAAATGGGTGACAGAAAATAAGATGACTCCTTCCTGCATCTTAAACAGGATACTTTAAACACCGTAATGCAGGAATAATGGCTACCTCAAGAGAAAAAAAAAATCCTTAGGCTACTCAACACAACAGAAAAGAGTATGTTTCCTTTCCCTTAGTAAAAACACACATAGGTAACAAATGAGCAACATTCTTATAAAACAGATTGAGCTGCATCTGAACTGCAGTGTATCCTAGGATCATGTAAGTATATGGGGGAAAAGCCCTATGAAATGGCTACACAAAACATGAGGAGTATAACCTTGAAATCAATTAGAGAAGGAGGCGATTATTTTTGCCAATGACGTCTCCATTGATCAAATCCCGACCCTCCATTCTGATGACACTGCAAACCCACCTTCCTCTAAGGAAATTAACAGGAAATACACAGCAACCAACCTCAGCAACCGGCATCGACCAGATCGACCCCTACTCAAATGGCTCAAAACACCCCGGATCCAAGCCCCGCCCTGGAGCTGCCAAATCCCGCACTGAATCCAGACTACCTCACTTCCTTTCCGTCCTCCCTCTCAGGCTCGACCCCCGCAGTTTCTGACCAACCCTCGCCACTGACAGAGAAACAGAAAAACGAGAATGATTTCCTTTACTTTGTCCAGGAAAAACCAGGGCCACACATACCCGTCCCTATTACGATCACATCAAAGTCCGAAGGGAGATTATCCGCCATCTTGACAGGAAACGTGTCACGTGACTGTAGTTTGTGGATGTGAGTTCCTAAGGCAGTCCCTAGAGAGAAGGCGGAAAGAAAAACAGTGCATTCTGGGTGTTGTAGTTTCAGGATGGTGGGTCCAGGCGACAAGGACTAAGTTTTTGAAAAGTAATTGCAAAAGGTAAAAGCTAGAGACCTGATAAGCTAGGGTAAGATAGAAAGGGAGGAAGTCCTCTCTTATTAGTGGACTAGAGGAGGGGAATAGGAAGAAAGGAAGGAGGGAAGGTGGGGTTGGGAGGAGACGGAGGGGTCACAGCCAGGATACAAAGTATACAAATTGTAATAATTTTTAAAAATAGTTTAACTTCATAAGAAAAAGAAAACCTCAATTTACTTTACAAGGTTCAGTGTGATATGGAAAAGAAATGCAAGTATTTGACTTCTCAAGCAAGGATGAATGAGGAAAGTTTTGTATTCCCCTTTGACAATTACCAAGCAAAAACCTTTCCAAGATGCTCAGGGGGGAGTGAAATTCAAAGGGGCTCACCTTGAACAAAGAAGATTTTCATTCCAGCCATAAAAACTGTTTCCCCTAGGTTGTGTGAATTTGTATTTTGGAACCTGAGGTTTCTATTTTCACTCTATACCAATACCGTCCAACTATATTCTATGTCTTTTTCGTTTCTGTGTATTCCCAGTGGGGGAAAAAAGAGAGAAGCAAACTAAAATCTCTTTGCCTAGTTTCCACAGAATGGAATTCCTGCTGCATTCTCTATTCAGTCCAAACAGCCGCCTAGCACTGTACGTTTCAAATTTAACTTTGATTTAGAGGCAGGGGAGGAAGTGTAAAAGAGTAGTAAAGAATAGTTGATAGTTGATAAATCTTTTATTTTGGAATATGATTTCCTGCAAAAATAAGAAGATCCCTACAACTTTGTCTTGCAAAGCTGCTGGAGAAATGATTAAAGTAAAATAGACTTAATATAGAACTGGTTATATTTAATAAAGGAGCATAAGGTTGTCTGTGCCAAGCAGTTAACATAGTTCTCATGAGTATTTTCAAGGTCTGTCACCTCCCACTGTATTTAAAATGCTTGATTGTCTGAAAATACTAAAGTAAAAAGATGAAGGAGGAGAGCATTGGCGTAAGGAAGGTATTTTTTTTAACCTTTTAAACAAGGACTTATTTGTGTAGCTATTCTCTAAGAGTTTCAAAATAATTCAAATGCAAGATGCACTAGTGTGACAATCCTTTATATCATCTACTGTCTCATCTGCTGATAGTCCTTCATGCATTGTTTTTTTTTCCTCAGTCTTTATGAGCAGCTCACACTAGCTTTTTCCTCATCAATGAATGATCTTTTAAAGCTCTAGGTAATATTTATGATTAATAACAAAGAACAGATATACTTAACCTTATTAAAACATTAACTAAAGTATACATTTTTCAAAACACCACACGATTCCACATAAATAGGAATAACTTTAAATACCAGTTTAAAATAATAAAAGGGAGGCTAAAAGCGTATCTCAATAGTTAAGAGCACTGACTGCCTGTCCTAAGGGACCAGGGTCTATTTCTATACTCACATGGCATCTCACAAATGCCTGTTAACTCCAATTCCAAGGGATCTATCATTCTCTTCTGGCCTCTTGAGGCACTGCATACACAGGGTGCACAGACATGCACACAGACATACACATTAAATAAACAAACTTTTAAAAACCAATAATTAGATCATCCTGAGTGAGGTATCCCAGAAGCAGAAAGACACACAGGATATATACTCACTCATAAATGGATATTCGACATATAATATAGGATAAACATACTAAAATCTATACACCTAAGGAAGCTATTCAAGAAGGAGGACTCTGACTAAGATGTTCAATCCCCATTCAGAAAGGCAAAGAGGATGGACATCGGAGAAGGAAGAAAACAAGGAACAGGACAGGAGCCTACCACAGAGGGCTTCTGAAAGGCCCTGCAGGGTATCAAGGCAGATGCTGAGACAGCCAAATTTTGGGCAGAGTTTGAAGCTCTTTTTAAGATGTCTGAAACATTTCGTAATTTTAAAAGTTCTATGAAACTCTTTTAAAATAGATTTTTCCTAGATATATTTTTTACATTTTTGTTACATTATGGTAAAATAATTACCAACACTTTAGTTTTCTCAATTTTATTTTTGGATTATCTTGTTATTGCACAGCATTCTCCTATGGTATGATTCACTGAGGAGTATGTATCTGTTGCCAAATACATTACTTGATAAGTACAATGTATTATTCACTGAGTCACTACATTTTTTGCCTTGTTATGAAAAGAAAGTTTTGAACATTATCAGAAATAAAATAAATGTTAGCTATAAATTGCCTGAAATACAAATGGAAATGAAAATTAAAACAGCTCAGAAAAAAAAGACCCTTTCCAAAGTCTTCTCATGCAGTGAGAAACCATAAAAAGGTAGAATATAAACAAATGTCATTGAATTTCACTTTGGAGGAATATGTGTATACATTCATGCATGCATGTAGTATGTGTACATCATATACTTTTAAATATTATTAACTTTATATGATATCAGAAATTTTTCTAACCATCACATTGTGAAAATATAAGTCATTGATAAATGTATTCCTTAAAAGTTAACTGGTCTTCTAGTAAGTGGATGAGTTATAGTCTAACCTGCTGAGATAATAACAAATAATGGGCAAAAGCCACTGTCTTCAGACAATTTACATGTAATTCTGCTGAATTTCTACTGTCTTGCCCCATATTTTAATAATTTAATAATACTACCAACACAATTACCTGTAACTTTTCTGAGTATGTAATAGTTTCATAAATACATCATATTTAAAAATAACCACTGTATGAAAAAGTATAAATCTTAGTGAAGAAATGTTAAAAATGTTTGTAGTAAATATTGTTTATGTTTCAGGTTAATAATCAATATAGGACTTGACAATGTCAGGAAATAGCATAAAACAACTGAATTGTTGGCTGTTGTTCCAAGAACATCTATTTTTGAGACCTGAAATATTTTGATTAGTCACAGTAGAACAAATTGTATCCAAGAAATGATGACTTATTAAATCGCTATAAAACTAATTTTGTTCATAAAGGTATTAATTGAAAACAATAAATTATTTTATATTTATTGTTTTAAAAGTATATTCCAGAATTTGAGGCCAACCTGGTTTACAAAGTGAGTCAAGAATAACCAAGGCTACACAGAGAAACCTTGTCCTTAATAAAAAGGGAGAGTGAAAGAACAAATCAATGATTAATAATTAAATAATTAAATGATTAAATAATTAAATCAATGATTTAATGAGCTTTTTCTCTAAGATCTTTCTTCTCAGCTCTAGAACTATATTTAACTCCTTATTTAGTATCTCTTTTTGATATGTCCCAATACTGAGCTACAAAGTATTCCGATCACACTCTCAAACCAAGTATTTTTGTCTAATAATATTTGTCTTAGATGTAGTTCCACCTTCTACTCTCATTAGTCAAAAAATAGTCATCCTGAGCAATTCTTTTTTTTCTAGAAGAAAAAGATATCAACAACTCATACCAGATTTACCTTTAAAATATACTACAAAGGATTGGGGAACACTTTACTGTACCAGGCATGAGTTTCATTTTGTGGATCAGCACCTAAATCCAATCAGAGAGTGGTTGGTTACTACCATAAAATTCATGTAACTATTGCAGCAGGGGCCATATCATGAGTGGATGCTCATTTTTGTAGTTCATGGGGTTCATAGCAGGGTAAATTTGTTCTTTCGTTAGTTTTTGTTTTGTGAGACAGGAATTCTTTATGCAGCCTTGTCTGTCCTGGACCTCACTATGTAGATCAGGCTCCCTTTAAACTCGGAGATCAACCTTTCTCTGCCTCCTTAGTGCTGGGATTAAAGATATGAGGCACCACTAACCAGCCATTGTTTTGTTTTTTGTTTGTTTATAGCTACTTCTCCACTGGTAACATAAATAGAACCTGTAGGAAGTGTGAAACCTACTCAGTACAGATGAAGCTACCAAGTCAGTATCAGCTTTCTTTCTGCATGCTCTGTAACCAAAGTATGTGGCATTGGCCCTAAGGGAGAATCCAATACCAGTATCCTATTAAATTACATCATATTAAACTTCCTCATAAGTTCTTGATTGCTGAATCTCTCAACCCTCATCAGAGCACTTTCTTTTAGTAGGATATAGCAATTAATACAGATACCCACAACTGATCAGTATGCAGAAAACAAAGTTTACGGAATGATCAACTCTAAATGTGAAGTCTATATAACACTGCCTACCCCCAAGGCTCTATATTGTAGAAGAGCAAGAAGAAATATTGTAAAGGCTGGAGTACTAGACATCAAGGGTCAGACATTATTTGTTTGATATGACAGGCCACTGCATACATGAACTCATAGAGGCTATGACTACATGCACAAGATCAAACCAGTCAAACTCCCAGCATGGACAAAGAATTGCTCATGAAGCACCACTCTTGGCTGAGAATTTTTTGACAGCTACTGAGGGAAGGTGAGTCTGTTTCTTCAGTTATGTGACCACTAAGTCGTTACCAATGCTCCAGAGGATGGTCCTACACCCATCTACATAAAGGAATAATAAAGGACATTCAGTAGATTTTAGAAAGAGTGAGGGGGATAAAGGAGAGAGAGAGAGAGTAAGAAAGGGGGAAGGTGAAAGGGAGAGAGAGGGAGAGTTAAAAGTAAAAATTGATGGGAGATGGAGGAATCGGAAATGAAAGACTGCGAGTGGATTTTATTGAAACATATTATATGGGTTCATAGCAGGAGCCAAAGAGACAGAAGAGGAGATTCTCTAATTAAACAAGTCTCCTAGTAGGGGGCAGGGACTACCAACCCAGCCACAAAAGCTTCTATTTAAAATTCACTGTGCCTACAAGATGTGCAGGGATAAAGATAGAGCAGATAAAACAGAGATGGACCGAAGCTCCAACTAATGCCTGACCCAACCCAAGACCCACCCTAC